GGAAGAATTTGTGTGTTTGCTTCTCATACATAGAGTATCTCTGGAAGGACACAGAAACTGATGCCACCGGTTGCCACAAGAGCAGGAAAGTTTTTTGCCTGAACAGGGAATTCCTACGAAAGAAAAGACAGCTGACAGTTGCCACAGTTGCACCACTTCCTCTCGACAAGAAGGGAATTTACCGTTTCTTCCCATCACACAGGTTGAAGGGGGAAAGGGGGCGCAAGGCAAACGGCTTCGGCAGGGGCGCGTGGCAAGTGGGGCGCACGTGAGAGCCACCCAGCAAGGTTCAAGGGAAGACGGTGGGGAGAGAGATTCTCATCACTGCCTTGAACCACCCTGACTTTAAAATAAGACTGGGACAGGAAAGATAATACATGACAGGGGAATGGGGTAATCAATAGCACTATGGACCACTGGTCGAACATAGCCAAAAGCAGTGGCCTCTCCCCCTACCCAGGAGGAGGCACATACAGACGTGGGGAGATACTAGGCGTGTGGCTACACTGCAGCTTATTTGACCAGAATTGTACTAATGTCATGCAGGTTACTGCTAGACATTTTGGCTATTGGAAACATCCTTGTACATTATTTGTATACTTTGCAAATTACGGTGGGTCTAGGGTGGATGGGGTGATCCCAGCACACAGCCCTGGTGAGAATGACACTAGACTTCCTTTATTACCCCCAGATTCTCAATTCCTCTCCTCTTTCAAAAGGTAACCTACTTTAAAGATGACTCATTTTACAGTGTTCTGCGTCTCAGAGACGCTTCCACTGCCACTGCCCAACCTCCCCTCTCTGGAACTCTTGCCTGAGAGGCCTCAACACCAGCAGACATTCCGCCCTGGCCATGCACCGGATCACCACCTCCCAGCCTCGACACCACGAGCCAGGACCTCTAGGGAGGAAGTACTACGAAGGAAATGTGCTTTAAAAACAAAGAGACCTCACAATAATTCTAATGCACAGCTAAGGTTGAAACTACTGATTCAAGCAGGCTAAAGCAACGGTGCTCTATATAACCCAGGGTGGCTGCAGCAAAAGTAATTGCACTACAGACCACAGGAAAAGCATGAACTGCTTCTCTCTGCCTTCAAATTATAAGGTTCCCTGTGTTGTCCATAACTATCCTTCCTTCCCTGGAATGTCAAAAAGGCCATTAATGCTACAGAGGCTCTAAGCACTAACTGGCTCCCAAACTAACGCCAGCTTCAAAGAGAGAGCAGCTTTCCTCTTCCTGGCGGGCGTCTCGTGCTCTAGGGCGCTGGGCACAAGCGCTAACCCTACACCATCCGATTTGAAAGCAGAAACAAAAAAGGCTTCTAAAATATTAAGAGAAATCACGGAAATAACTTCCAGAAATGGAACTGAATTCTTCTAGTTTTCTCTATTATCTGGCTACAACCCTACAATGAAAACCACTTTCCTAAAAGCCCTTTAAGCAGAAGCTGAGAACGTGATGTAAATTTCAAGGGACAAGCCTCATGCCTGATGCATGGGCCGCATAAAGAGTTCACCAGAATGCCCGACGCCACAACATACACGAAGCTGCTGACTTCATGCTTGGAAAAGCTTTTCCCAAAACCATCAGAACAAGACTCCCCATCACAATAAGACTCTCACCCCTCTTCATTTTTCCTTATTTATGCCGACCTCTTTCACCTGGCAGGATAATGCTGCAGAGAAAATTCCACAATTGGGAGCTTCTGTGGGTAACTTGCGCTCCCTGGTTTAGTTTAACCTGGTCATGGAATGCTAGATTATCCACTACCTGAAGAGAGAAGAATCTGTGCAGTTGATGACACCTTCTTCCTGTACCTCGACAAATACATCAGGTGTTGCAGAGCAGACTACCTGGTTAACAAGGGTAGACTCCACATCTGGCTATTTGATTTTAGTTGGTTTGGTTCATGGAGACTCTACCTAAGGAGCATACTCCAAACTCTTGGTATTTTCCTCCTGACATCATAATAGTCTTAAAAGGGGCCCTTTTCTGGCTAGAACAATAAAACGTCAAAGAAACGCAAGATAATGTGAACACCCTAACCTGTTAGTGCCATGCTGAGACTGGAAACCCGAAATGATTGTAACTGAGAGCAGTGCTGACGTCTGGGTGTCAGTTACACTCCCCCAGGGGAGAGCTTGATCAAAATGGGAGAATTATTAAATAAAAATTACAGGAGGCCACTGTTTTAGACTAAGCTACTGCATAAGGCCCCAAAAGACCAGACTAATAAGCAAAGTAGAGTCACTAATGCTAAGGCTTCACATCTTCAATTCTAAACTAACTTATCTGATCTTCCAAGAAGTCAGGAGAGATAACAGCCAATTTCCCAAACAGGCCAGTTTTATGGGCACGATAATATCAATCTACAAATATGCAGTCAACCCAGGTTTACTTATGTACATTTAGTAAAAGTATATGACCCAATGCACAAGCCTCCTATTGTTAAATTGACACTATTTTAACGTGTATGTTCAAACGCTGCCTGAATTAGCCAGTCCACCTTTTTGGTAGTGGCAGTAAAAACAGATTACATATTGCTCATGGCAGAAAGTGAATGTTAGCTTCTGTGGCTTCAGGGCTTTCAATCACTAGCTGAGAAGTGTTTCCAAGGCAAGTGTGATACAATTGTGAATGATCTGAGAAGAAAACAGGCTGTAAGAATAACTATTCCAAGTGGGGCTGCCAAAGTTGCCTATGCTCTTGACCTTGTTGCCAGTCTTCCATGGAAAAAGAACTCCGTGAAAAAGGATCTGTAACAAATGTACAAGGAATGCATCTAATTTATATTATGAGAGAAGAATATGAACTTACACAGTTTTAAACAATGCTGAAATAAACTGAAACTATTATACTTATCAGGTTATTTAACTTGGAATGGATCTGGCTTTCGCATAAGTCTTCTGGGGAGATAGTTCGTACTTCAACTCTACCACAAACAAATCTTAACATTGTAATTATTAGATTATTATAAGCCAAATTATAAGTCAAACAATGCTGATGCAAATATGCAAAATCACACTATCAGGCTAACCAGACAATCTACCATGAACTAAATTGATGACAATGACACAAACAGCAATTTGTCGTCATCATCATTATAAAAGAATAGCAGCAATTAAAAACTACAAGCAAAAATAATGGAAAAAAGCAAGCAAGCAAGCAAGAAGTAAGGGAAAATTGCAGCCAACTTGACACATTACTAGGATAAAATTTTTCCTGGAAAATGGCTAGAATTCCAATTATATCTAGGTACATATGGATAGTAGAAGATTTGTAACATTGTAGAATACTGAATTAGAGTCCTCAGTAAGCTTCTTTATAAATTAATTTTAGTTCTGAATACCAAATTTGAGTAACTACTAACTTATTTATTAGTACCAAGTCCTTAGATAAATGAAGAAATGAAGGTTTGAGGAAATGGACTGGAATTTTTAGATCTTTGTTCTTCAGAACAAAGGACTGGAATTTTTAGATCTGTTCTGGGACCACCTGGAGAAGGCTTAAGGCCTAGTATGGGCTGCAGGTCACAAAGAAGCACTTGTTTAAACACATTTTCAGAGAAAGTCTATTCCCTTCCCACCTCCCACACATATAACAGGGACAAGGTTTCAGAACTATCAGGATAGAAATAACCATTAGGAATATATTAATAATGTACATAGAGAATTACTCTTATCAAAATATCTTACAACTGTACAGTGCTTTGCAGTTTACAAAGCTCTTTATAGGCATTATTTCATAAATACATCCATCATGAGAAGATAAAATTACCTCCATTCTAAAGATAAGAAACCCAAGATCCAGAAAAGTTCAGTGCCTTGCTCAAGGTCAAGTTAGACACTCAGCTAAGTGGCTTAAATTAAGGGACTTAATTTATATATAATATAAATAATGTAATTTGCTGTGATGATCACGTTTATAAAAAAAAATAATAATGTAATTAATTATATTAATATATATTATATATGATTAACATAATTTAGGACATCCTGTTACTAGTTCATGATCTCCAAGCTACTATCGGCCAAATCTAGAAATCAAATGAAGCATACAAAAAGGCTTTGCAAAACTAAAAAAAAACTAGAAGGATTTTATTATGAAGATCATTCATTATTTACAGATGCAGCAGTGAATTACCTAGGCCCGGGCCCTCCCTAAGCAATGCAATCTCTACTGGGGTCCAGGCATTAGGACTTTCAAAATCTGCCCGAGGCAGAAATCTTCTGATCTAAGGTAAATCATACAAATAGCAAGAGAGCTTTAGAAACATGCTTTTTCACTCTTATTCAGTTCTACTTTTATATTGTTCTTTTATACTAATTAGTCATCACATCTTAATTGGACATGTCATGTCAAGAGGTTAAGAAGCCAAAGTGCTGACTTGAAAGATTTCAGTCTTAACTATAAGGAAGGCACACAAATCTGCACAATACCAACAATGTGAAATACCATATTATTTTGTAAAACTCTATTTTGTCAAAATTTAGAATATTCAATTAAAAACTACAGCTTTGTACATATATAATAAATCAATTAAAAATACATAGAAAGTACAGCCTTTAGTTTGTGCTATTAAGAACATTTAAAAATCATAATCTTCAATTGAAGATGACTCAACTATTTTTATCAAATACTACATTTAAGTTGTATTCATTTGAGGAATAGGAAGGTTTAGAGCACTAAACATAATAAATAAAAGTAATATTATGATTGAGGTACTTAAGAGAAAAATTAGATGGCAATTAGCACTGAAAATCATTTAAAAATACTGAATACTGTCCCAATCTTACCATTTTGAGACTTTCTGGAGTACATTTGGTCTTATCAAGTACTTTAATGGCCACCTAGAAAAAAATAATAAATGTTTAAGAATTTTAAGAATTTAGTAATCATGGACTAACATATGGCATTGTTAAAAAGCAAGCAAGCATACAAACTTGAAAATGTGAAACTTAGTTGGTTATAATAACTAATTGAAACTTTATAAAGATGTACAACTGAAAATTTTAGCTTCATAAAAAAAGTGGCTTCATAACATTTTATATTTATAGACAAGAGTGGAATTATCTCCTTCAAAGTAAAAAAAAGAAAACAGATATATAATGAAAAGATTTTAAAAAGATACATAATTTAGCAAATCTTTTCTTCACTATGTACTGACATTTTAATTGTAGCTGACTCTATGATCCTAGGGCAGGAACTATGGCTCTTATAGGTTTACATAGCCCAGAATGCTCCCAGAGTGTGTCTCACAGTGAGCTTAATAAATACATATTAAAAAAAAAAAACCAAACAAACAGAAAAGCCCTTTAGGCAGTTAGGCAAGGAGAGGGACCAATCTGGGGCTCACCGAGGGGAATAAGTACAGAGGCAACAAAGGGCCACCTGGCAGCCTCGGGTTCAGAAACGGGTGGGATACCAGCCCTGTTCAGAAACGGGTGGGATACCAGCAGACAACACCAGCGCCAGGAGACGGGGAGAAAGAACCGCAGCTTCTGTTTATGTGCATCTTTTATCTTAAGAAACAAGAACCAGTTTTACTGACATTTACCAAGTAGACCTGTTCCCACATCCCCACCTGGTCGGCTTGTCACTGGTTGGACAGAAACACTTCCTATGGAGGGTGGGAATCCAGAATGAGCGGAGGGTGGAGTGACGAGAGAGGGAACATGAGCGAGAGGGGCGTCGCCAGGACCAGGAAACACAAGTCACACCAGCTCTGGGCCTGAAGTTCGCGCCGCCAATGAGCAGAGAGGCGGGCGGCGGCGCCTGCGTGCGTGTGCACGGCGCATGCGCGGTGACGCGCTGAGGGAGCGTCCGCAGCCCAAACGGAAAGGGCCTTGGACGTCCTCTGTGCGTGGTTTGCACGCTTTTTGGCCCTTTTTACGCTCCTAAAGATTACTGAGTACCCCAAATGTGGGTTATATGAATGGATATTTACCATATTACAAATGAAAACTCAGAAATTATAAAGTATTTGATAATTCATTTCAAAATAACAATAAACCTATCACACGTTAACATAAGTAATTTATTTGTATGAAATTTTCATCTGTGCTTCTGCATTCAGTCTGCTGTGATGATCACACATCATGTAGCCCCTGGAAAACTATACACTTGCAAAAGAGAGAATGAAAAAAGCTAACGTTTCAATAGTATTACAAAAATGGTTTGACTTTGCAGGCCCCTTGAAAGGGCCTCAGAAAACCTCCAGGTGTCCCCCTGCCTTATTTGAGAAAGGCCACACTATGCATATTAACACTGTGCTTCTAAAAACTGCTTAACCGGGTTCGAAGTCTCCACGTGCCCTAGTCATTTATTCCCTACGAACTACAGACAGGAAGCGCTGCGGCTCCCGCCCGGAGTGGAAGGGCCACCACCTCAACCCCAGGGGGGCAAATCAGAACTGGGGAAGGAGTGAAGAGTAAATGAATGTGTGTTTCAATGGAAGTAAAGGAGCGGAAGACAATAGTGGCTGCTGAAACAGACAAACACTGATTACCTTTGCACATCTCAACTGGAGAAGAGAAGCCGGATTCATTTATAGCCCTAGCACACTACCTGGCACGCAGGAGCACTCAGCAGACGTTTGCTGCACCCATCTGAGGCCTCAACGCCATGATCACAGATGGAAACAGGGCAGTGAAGAAATGGGGCTTCTGGTGTTTTCACAGAACAATGTAATCTTAAAAATTACATAAATCGAAGGCAAATGAATTAATTGCCTTCAAACTTTACTTTCATTGCTAATTTTATGTGGTACTTTTGGATCCCCCAATTCCAAAGAAACCTGTTAGATACTCTGTTCTTTTCTGGCCTCCATCATATTTTCCTCCTCCTCCTCCTCCTCCTCCTCCTAGCCGAATCTGTCAAACAGGCTGCCTTTCCTGTTCTTCCCTCTGGTCTTCTGAGAACTGCTCTCTATTCTCATGACTGCCCTTGATCACCACTTTCTTCTGGTTCTGCTCAATATCCTCCTTCTATTCTAAGGATTTTCTTCTGATCCTGTGTTTACACATTTTCAGCTTCATGTACTGCTATTCCAGTAGCATCTGAAGCAAAAATAGGAGCTCAAATACGTTCCATTCAGCTTAATCGAACCGTAGAAAACAGTCATTTTATCAAAAGCAACAGTGTCCCCAGAGTGAAGCATCATCCAAGGTGACATGTGTATGTGCAGCGATGAAGCCTGAGGGGCAAGTTCCTAATCCCCTCCTCCTCCCACTGCCTGCTGGAAAGACTCCACCAAAATAACCCGGGCCCAGAGCTGGGGCCTTGGAGTTCAGACAGAGCTGAGACCCCAAGGTCACCAAAGAGGCGGGAGCTGTCAGTGTCGCTGGTTGCTCTGCCTCAGAAGGTGGAGGCTGGAGCAGACCCTCCCCCCCATTCTGGTGGCCGTGGAGTCGGGTGAAGGGGACACAGCAAATGCCAAGGGGGGGTCGCCAGGTGAGGAGAGGGGAGTGCCACTGCACCTCTGTGCAAAGTTCTGGGAAATTCCATTTACAGTCGCCCTGATGCCAGAAGCAAAGTGGAAAATTACAAAATAGAGGTAAGGACAGCTCGGACACAGCAAGGGCTTCCCCAACAAGCCTCAACCGAAAGGGCCCGACAAACTCACAGCAAACACCCACTGGAAAAAAGTCCTTATCTGCCACTTTCTGTCCATTCACTACCAGTCAAAAGAGCCTGACACCCTGCTCCTTAAAGGTGTTAAAGCATCCACACCCACTAGCCCAGCGAGCAGAAACGATCCCAAATCCCTTAGGGGGACACAGCAGCCTGAAGGATGGAGCGTCAGTCAGCTCCCGCGGCCGGAACACAACACCAGACACTCGTTTCCTCACAGTTGTGGAGGCGGCAAGTGCAAGATCAGCCCCATGAGTGGTTCTGGCGACGGCGTTCCTCCCGGCGTGCTCGCTGTCCTCACACAGTGGAGAGAGCGAGCTCTCGGTGTCTCTCCACGTGAGGACACTGATCCCATCAGTCAGGGCTCACGCCGAGACCTCGCTGAACTGTGACCTTACCGTCAAGTAACACAGTCTTGCCGGAGGTTAAGGCTTCAACTTACAAATTTGGGAGGATACATTTCAATCCAAAGCAAATGCAGACCAAGCCAAACAACTACAACAGTTGGCTACAAAACAAAATGTCAACATGGAAGAAGGTTACAAGTGAGAAGCAGATACAAAATAATACACTGTATGATTCCATTAGTATAATGTTTAAAAAAACAGACAAAACTAATCCATGGCATTGGACATCAGCACAGCGGTTCCTTGGGGGAGGGGATGAGAAAGGTGCAGCAGGGAGAGGATTCTGGGTCAGAGCATACTTTTTGCCCTGGGTCATGGTTATGCAAACACGTTTACTCTGTGGTAATTCATCAAGCTGTAGATTTATGATCAGAGAACTTTTTATGCATGTTACATTTCAATAAAAAGACTTTTTGGGTTTTAAATGTCAACAGTGACTTTTACAAAACCACAATAAAAAGTCAACAGACAATGCCTAAAACTGAAAAATAAATAAGAACACAAGCATGTTATAAAGACATGAAAGTAAAACCTAAATAATCAGTATAGAAGACACAGTGGCCATCTGGGGACACTAGGAAATGGGGGGAGGGCAGGGCATCAGGGGGGTGGTGAGAATGGGGGTCTAGGGAACTATTGTTTGTAACAAGCCTTGGCTCTTTAAACTGTGTAATATATAGGGGCTGTCTGGAAAGTATCCAGCCATGTAGGATGTTCTTATGTTAACAATGGCTGGATACTTTCCCCCTCAGCCTCGTATAACTTGAATAACAATAACTAAATGCAAAGGTTTTTGTAACCACAATGAGAATGTTTGGTTAAGGATGGCAGACTGATCACATGCATTTCTCTCTTCTCCCACCTGATGAGCCAATTGAAAAATAAACACAAAATGACAATACTGGCAAAGAGAATGGAAGAGGTGCCAACAGCAGACAAGTGACTCGAAAATTTCTGGGAAATAAAAATCTTATGATGGTATAGTGGCACACACAGCAGGGCACAGGAAGACAAGCCTAGAATGTGCAAAGGAAGAAACTTCACTGTCCAGAGAAAATGACCCTGTGTTGTGTATGTGGAAGGCCCCAACGTAAAGGCCAGCTCTCATCTCAGCCACCATGACCAGTGCCTTCCATATGCCCTACCCCACGGACAGGGAGCTCTCGATCTGCTTCTCGGGGCTCCACTCTAACAACATTAGCAGGGAATCAAAGATCTTCAGACCAATGAGGAAAGCCTGTGGTTTTTCCTAGCACTGTTGTCCATGCATGTGTTGTTAAGGGAAAACACCAGATATAATTAAGCCTCTTCTTCCAAAAAAAAGGGATACAGTCAATTCCTATCATTCATGGTGATATTCTACAAAGTCACTGTGATCATCACATTAGTAAATAATGTACCATTGCTCCTAGAGGACAATACAGGGTTAGGTGCCTTCAAGTCTCTGGTCAAAACGTTTTCATCAACTAATCAATACACAAGTTTGTTTTATGAGTGTATCTGTTGGAGCACACCTTCTGTCACATGTATTAGTGGTTACACCAAACTCATTGCCAACAGCTCTGTAACTCACACTCAACTGAAGCATTTTCTCTATAAGACACATCATAGCCTTGCACTTAGGAAGACTAGATAGTGCTTCAGCACCATGGGGCCATCTTAAATAGTGAAATCCTCAACAGAAAGCACAAAAACGCAAACAAACAAAACAACAACAACAAAAACCCAAACAAACCAGGTGGCATTAAACAGACCACAAAAGGGACATTTGTTTAGACTTTGAGGGCTGAAACAAGAAAGCAAAGTGTTGC